CCCCCCCATTCACAGACAAGGCGCAGAAATGAAAGGGTATTTAGAATGAATCTCAGCTAATATTGCTAATTTCTGGATGTTGGGTTTTGTGGTGATTTTTAAAAATATGTTTTTATTGACTTCAGAGAGAGAGGAAGGGAGAGAGAGAAACATCAGTGATGAGAGTCACTGACCGGCTACCTCCTGCACGCCCCCTGCTAGGGATCGAGCCCGCAACCTGGGCACGTGCCCTGACCAGGAACCGAACCGGTGACCAGTTGGTGCACAGGGTGACGCTCCAACCGACGGAGTCACCTGGCCAGGGCTCAAGGCTTTTCTTTTCTTTTTTAAACATGGAAGCTTCTCAATCTCGAGGCCACACCTAAGCTGTGGTCTCACCGAGGTGGCTGCAGCAGTTTCACCGAGAGGCTCATTTGGTTAGAAGCCTCCGAAAGCTCAAGGAGGCCCATGTGCACCCACTAGGCCCTCGGCAGGGACCCGAAGGAGGAAGTCCCCCCGGCTTCCCAAGGTCAGTGACCCTTAGCAGTTGTCCGACCCCTGGCTGCACCTCCTTGCAGCGTCTCCCTGGCCACCGGCAGCCACTGTTCCTACTGCGCCCGGAGTGAGCCCCACACTCTCCCCTCAACCTGGGAGGCTTGAGCCCCACCGCCAACGGCTCCTGGTGCCAGAGCTCCACCCGCTCCGCTCAGGAAGTACAAGGGCTCCCTCGGCCCAGCCTGAGGCTCACATGTGTGGGCGACTCCCCCACGTGTCCCCAGCCCATGGTTTGCAAAAGCGTCTTTAACTTCCTTCCCCCACCTCTCCCTACCCCCAGCCTGTGACAAACCTCCATTTAAAACCTGATCAAAAAGAAGCCTATTTTATGTGCAACAGGGAGGGAGGCTGGAGCCCCAAGCACGCGGCCTCTGCTGTGTGTCCCCCTTCCTGCTGTCCCATCTGTCCTGTGGGACAGCAGGCACCTCTGGGACCAGCTTCATTAACCAGGAACCCCCCCCCCTCCTCTCCGACAACACACATTTCCCAGGCTCCCCGAAGGCCTTGAAAATCTGCAGATTAAAAGTGAGACTCGATGTTCTCCAGAGCCTGGCTCGGTCATTTCTGTTAGCAGCACCCACTGCACTGGAGTCACCCTGACTCTCAGTTTCTGTCACCGAGTCCCTGAGCTGACCCCAATGCTCCCCTCTCTCCAGCCTCTCTCCTCCACAGCCTCCCCTCCTATGCCAGCCCCGCACCCTCCCTCTCCCTTTCCAACCAACTTTCCACAGGGCGGTCTCCATTTGCCAGGATGGGGCTCCAATCAGCATAGGCCGGTGCTTTGTTCTGCCTGCTGAATTAGGATATTTTCTTGCCTTGGCATTCAAGGCCTCACCCCGAGGCCAGAGCACAGTGACAACTTCATTCTTATTGCTTCCCTGAGGGACGTGAGGGACCCAGATCACGCTGGGTCCTCGACAATATCCCGCCTGTCCCCACTCCCGTCCCCACACCAGCATCACCTCTCTTTATTTTTATCTGCCTGCTGAGAACCCTCTCCCATTCTTCCTCTATCAGGAATGGACTCGACCTGATTCTTCCCTCAAGGTCACTGTCACCTTCAGAAGCCTGTACTGGTCTTTTTTCCCAGGCATGACCCTCCCCCACGGCCTCTGTCTGGAGGTGACCCTCGGCCATGATCCTGTGATAATAGTTGACCTTAATATTGACAGTTGCTAAATATTCTCACATCCTTCGTGTTACTTTCTGTTCATAAAACCCTGTGAGATATACAAAGAATAAACCCAAGGCTGGGGGG